ACGGCAGCCCGAAGGGATCCGAAAACGGTTGTCGGGGTTACCGGTACTGGCATTTGGAATTTGGGAATCCGGCAAATATATTTGGTTATATGCTTCGTTGATCTTTGAACGCAAAACGGCTTACGTAACCATAATTGAGTCGACTGGTCGTCTGTCTGTTGCATCTGTTGGGTTTTAAGGAAATGGTATGGTATGGGAATCATCGTCGAATTTATTACTATCCCTTTTATGCACAGAAAAAAAATATACTATTTTAAATTATAATTTATAAAATTAAAGTTATATAAGATTCATTTATTTTTATCAATTACTCAACCTATAAGTATGAAATATATTTGTTATTTTATAAAAAAGGGTTAAAACTCATCCCTTAGTGTAAAATAAATCTATGCCTCAGCTTATCGCTTGTCTGCATGGGCTTAGAGTTTTTTATATTCGGACTCATGATGAATTGAAATGGGGATTGGAAAGCTGCCGCGGGCTCTTCATCATATTTCTCTTGCCATTTACCCATTCATATGGAGCTTACATTGTTATTAGGTGTCGTAATCGTCCAACAGGGACTCAACCTAATTAACCATAAAGTGAGCGCCATCATGTCACAACTGTCGGCTTAGAAATAAGTGAAGGAGTTGTCAATATTGAGTTCAATGGGTCGGTTAATGTTCTGCTCGGATTTAAGATGATTGGGGGAAAGAAGTAAAGCTTGGGTAAAAGTGAAGTCAACATAAAATATTGTGGGGTTTTTTAAGCTTAGGAAATGAGTCTGCCTATTACTTATACCAATATAAATGAAAAGAATTAAACTACCTATCATCAAAAAAATTCCAAAACAATTAATCACTCCCTAAACATTCTCTACACCACAGTTACTTCACTCAGAAAACTCATGATTAAGAAAAATCCCACACAAATGGCTAATCCTTGGGCACACAAGATCTCAGCCGAGTTACCTAAACAAAACAACGAAAATATGTCACATTTTTTCACTCTAAAAACGGAAATTTACAACTGCCCCCCACTAATAGCGACTCTCAAAATAGCCGACTATAACCGTATTACAACACCTTGACGGACGCTAAACTCAGTGTTTGTTGACAAATACTAAGGGGTATGGAATAGGTATGGAGTGGTATGGTATGGTGCTTACATATACACAAGTCAACTAACGTCCGCGATATCCGTGCAAAGCAATCTTGTCAGTATATTACGTTAATGACAAATTGACGGCACCGGCTCTTTGATGTGTTTTGTTTGATTGTTTTGGTTCTAATCATCGTCGACTGCCGACGAAGTAGTCGTGGTAAAAAAAAGTATATATATGTGGGCGGGGGTGGCTGTGTGTAAAGGGGGGCGGGGCAGAGGGGGCTGGGATCTCAGGGGTGTGCTTGCAAATGATTTCGTTTTAATTTAACCGCGCACTCGTAGTCGTCACTCAATTAGCTTGCAGCTCAGCGGAGCTTATCAGTTCCCGAAAAGTCATATAACCCCCCGTTTCCCCTTAAATGTGTTTGTCCAGGGATGGCAAAGGGGGTGCAGCAGTGGCTGGGGAGGGTGAAGGGGAGGTAGGTGGGCGGCGTGCGGAGATAAGCTCGGCCACTATCTGACTGCCTCTCTCGCTCTCTTCGACATGGGTTTTCTCTGCACTAGCCGAAAATATTGCATTATATTAAGTGATATCTAGCAGAAAATATCAAAAATTATATATATTAAAAATAAGGGTATTTATCTTGATAAAATTGACCCCAATACAATCCCATTGGGGTCAATGAATCCTACAGATTTAATCCGGATATTTTATAAGAACATTTTGTAAGAAATTGTAATATTGTTGGTTTGCTTGAAGTTATTGACAAAGATTTATGTTGTATAGTTGTTTCAAGATAGTTGACTAACGGTTCCAGAAATGTTTAGCTTACAGACTAAATTCAAAAGGTCATTTGGTCTCAAACAATTCTAGAATGAATCGCAATATAAATTAATATTTTCTAGTATTGTAAGCTAGTTAAACCCAATTCGTTTAAGTGTATAGTCCAGTTGTGTGGCGGTTTCTGTCACTGTTTGACGACCGTGATGTTGTAGTACACAAGTCGATCCGGCGACTGCTCCGTGCTACGTGCCCGGCAAGTTGTCAAACAAGCCGTGGGCAAATACGAAATGCTAGGCAGGGAATACTACGGAATACTGAGCGGTACGGAGAACGGATTACGGAGAGCCCAGAGTAGGGAGTGTGGTTCCCTGGACGCCAGAGAGAGGAGACCACCTCACTGCACTCGGTGGACTGTCAATTACAACTCTAAATATGTGTGCGCACTCGACATTTGTCGCATTTGTTTGCATTTGCGCCTGCCTGCAATAAAATCCAACAACCGACATCGCGCAAGAGTTAAAGGTTCTGGCATATGGAAATACACTGAAAAATGTCTATCATATCCCTTAATATCTAAAATATGGTTAAATGAAACTTTAATGCTATTAATAATACTTTAATGATATTTTGTGAAGATCAATGAGAACTTATGGCTTTTACACCAATTTGACTTTTCTGAATCAAAGTTACAGACAAATAAGTATATCCTTAAATACGGAAATCTAAAAAAAAATAATTTGCAGGTGAGTACTCGCAAAAATTATTACAATATTTGTACCAAAAATCCCCAAAAAGCTAGGAAAATATTTGGATTCCCTTGCTACTGATTTTTTCTTTAGGTGTACTGACCTACGAGTTGAATTTCATATGCATGCTTCAGTTCTCTGCCGCAACGTGAGAGAACTCTGGAGAAGTGTAGAGCTCTGTGGAAATGCCCCAACTCCCCGTCGGCAAAAGTGTCCCGTCCAATAAAATCTAATAACCACTTGGGGACTCTGTTCGCCCGCCTCCCCTTCCCTTCCGTCTTTGGGGGAGTTCTGGTGCTCCAAGGGCCCAACAGCAGACCTTATAAGCAAGGTCTTGCTATTCACTTGCACGATTTTCGGCAGCTTTTCTTCTTCTGTATGATGACATTGGCACAAAGACGCGGCGGCGACTGCAGTTCCAGAAATTTATTTTTCCTGACTTTATGATCGTTTGTCGGTTGTCAAAGGGCTTTTATGGGTGGGTGGTATAGAAGGAGGGGTTGGGATGGAGACGAAGTGTCTGGGAGACAGCTGTGATGACATTGGTATGGGTAAATGTACATAGATGGGGCAATTGGGGGTGGGTTTTCGGAAAGAATTCGTGGAATTCACGAAATGGGTAAAATAACAATTTTACTGCCAATACAAGTTAATTACTATTGCTGGACATAAATGGTCTTAGAAAATTTTAAAATATTTGGACTATTTTTCAATTTAAAATTATATTCTACAGATCTGATCATTATACTCAAAGAAAAAATGTATATTTCCGTTCTATAACATTCCCGGAGGCTCTAATATTAAATAAAAATAATTTTAGCCTCTTCTAATTTAAACCACCTTTGTTTAGGAACCATATTTCCTGGATTCCTTTGTGCTATGCAAAAAAAAAAAAACAAAAATAAATACCTGGTAAAGTTCCCCGTCCGGAAACCTATCACAAAAGTAGACCCACCGGGGCTGCAAAAATGCGAAAAAGTTTACGAGATGGCACCTAATTAGGCAGGAGAACGCCGCCAGAAATTTACGTTTCCTTCAGTTCTGGCGCAGCTTTAAACTCCACAAACTGTTCAAACTCTACTTCAGACTTTTCAGATCCGCGAACGCCGGCGGCTGGCCAAAAAAAAAAAGAAAAGGAGTGAGGTGCGCTTTTCTTGCACGTTAAAAAACAATTAGATCCTAGTTCAATTAAAAGTTCTCTTTAATTCAACCCAGTGATTTGTTAAATTTTTAAGTATATTCTTTTATATTTTTAAACATTTATGATCCCTAAACTTTTTTATTTCCTTTATGATTTGTATGATACGAAATAAGCAATAAATAGCACAGTGTTTTTTGGTGCGTATATCAGCGCTGAGCAAACACGGATTCGTTCCCATTGAGGTGCCGATGCGACCGGGTCAAAATTATTGGCGTAGTTACGACCGGACGGACAGCCACATACATCAAATCATAAAGCAAATGGTGCCGACAAACTAACTGGCCGGAGCCAAAATGGCAGAGTGGCCAAATAACCAAATAAACCAGCCGACAGCCCCCTGGCATTTACATTCGCCCCAAAAAGACAACGCCGAACAACTGAACAACCAAAAAGCGTCGAACAACCAGACGACAACGAGAACGTTCCGCTTTTTTGCGTTGGTTCCGGGAAACGCAACAAAATTTCACAACGCACCAAAATGTTTCCCTTCTTCTTCTTCTTGTCTTGGCCATCATCATCTGCCCCATCATCATGGGGCTCCTTCGCCTTCTCTCCACCAAACCGATCCAAACCAAAACAACACAACAACACCTTGACCAAAAGCAATAGCCAACTTCAAAGAATCTTCGAAACGGCCACGCCTCGCACACTAGACAACAACATTGTTGGATGGTGTTGTTGGTACACCGAAAGAAAAAACTATTAATGGGCTAAGAATGGATGGTTAGTGATTTTAACTATTTTTTAAAATTAGATAAATTTTTTTAAATGGATTTGTGTAAGAATTGTATAACAATATTCAGTCTAAATGGTGTTAAAATTTGTCAAATTAATAGGATTATAATTTTAATTTCTTATTTTTGTGTTCTACAATTAATTATCATTTTTAGAAGCCCCCTTTTTCTTTTCAATGTTGCTGTTGCGTTGCCGTTGTTACTGTAAGTGTTGCAGATCGAAGGTGGAATGTTGCCGGGTTGTCGTTTGCCGTTGATGGGCTTATTAGAGTTAGTCAGAGTTATTCTCTTCTTTTTTTTTGTCTGGGGTGGTGCGGAAACCTCAAAGCGAATTTAGTGCGCTCCCGCCCCCTCCGCAGCCCCTGCTCCTCCGCCCCTTTTCTGGGTTGTCCCCTCGCGTTTATGACGACAATGCGTTTGCTGTCATAATTATTAGTCAAACACAAACAATGAATTTCATAATTTTCCCATCAATACGGTCCAACAGCCGGTTGGAGCTTCGTTCGAACGTTCGTAAACTCCAAACTCGCAGCTCGAAAGCGTTCAAACATCCGCTCTTCCCGCACGCGCCGCTTGGGAAGAATGTCCAACTCTTGGCCGGAGGATGAGCTGGATATTACTATATAGTTTTGGGGCTTGGGGTTTGGGGAACACCGAAAGGGGGACTCTTTGGAAATGAAGCCGTCGCGCATAAAGTGTGAAATTGCTGGCAATTCGCAGAGACGCTCCATTCTCGGGGTTTCTCAGTCTTTCGAGGCTGTTTAGAGCCTGGACTAATGGGCGATGTCAATACACTCAGAGAAGTAGTTATAAGCTTATTTAATTATTTTTAAAAGAAATGAACTATTTTTCACTGACAAGTTATTTAAAATAATGAAGTTTCTAAAATTGGAAAATATTTAATTATTTATTAACTAAATTAATTATTTTGGAATATTTTAGGAAATGTCCAAAGTTTAGCTTTTTGAAAGGACCTTTTTTCGTTATAGAGAAGTTTTTAGCAAACTCCAAATGTTTAAAATTAAATTGTTTTTGCTTTTCTGCTTAGAAAAGAATGTTTAACTATTATTTTTTGTGATATAAAAGTTATAACAGCTTTTAAGTTTATTTTACTTTAAAATATTTTAGATGCTGGTAATATTTTTCAATTTTGTCTTATTTTTCTCAGTGCCCCTTGCACGCTTGTTCCATTGAATAGAACAATATCCGCACAAATATTTGCAGAGAGCAGCAAGCAGGTCGTGTTTAAAATGTTTAACCACCCGAGGAGGGAAGTTGGGGCAGAAGAGCTCGGCCCGTCCACGACAAACAAACCAGAACTGAGCCGCGATCTCTGGTCAAGACTCGGACTCGGACTCAAACTGGGACTCAAAACTCGGACTCATCCATAATTGTTGTTTGATCGTTGTAATTGGTTTGGTGTAGCTGAAGCACAGGAAATGCAACAGCAACAGCAATGGTCCCATAAAGACAACATTGCAGGCGGCTTTACATTGATCCGTTTAACGATTGACAAACGCGGCGATCTTTTCGGGAAGTCAGAGTTAAGGAAAAAAATACAACAAAAAAGTAAAAAGGGGTAAGATGGCCATGGAAGGAAACCCGGTCGGCATTCGCTTTTGAACTGCACTGTATGTGTTTGTGTCGTTATGGCCGCATCTTTTTGTAGTCGATAATAAAAATTGTAAACTTTGTGGCAGTCTGCTGGAGTTGGAGCTCCACCCTTGTTCTGGAATGGACAGCCCACTTTTCGCTATAAAATCTCTTTCAAACTCTTTCAACGGACACGCCCGGCATTATCTGGTTCTTCCTCCATGTGTGGGAAATAGGGTGGCCCAATATCTATATATTTGTGGGTGGTCCATGCGAACGATGCGATAGCGCATGCTCTACTTGTGAACCGACTTGTACGACATTATTTGACTTGAAAAATGGAACAGCCTGGAGAAACCAGCCTGGAAATGGTGGGAAAATATTTCTTTGTTTTAGACCCGGTATTGTCATTCTTGTTTGTTGTCAAAGGCTTGTTGGAAAAGGTGTACGATAGGTGTTTGAAGGTGTGCACCTTTAATGGTACATTAATTGCCCTTGTTGGCACTCGAGCGATAAACATCGGTACAAATATTTGATTTTAGTTAGCTACAAGTGGGTAAATAGTGTAAGTACAAGAGTAGAATCGATGCGGTAGAAAGGGTGAGAAAAAAGTGAACCGATCGGTGACATTTCAGTAAATGTTTCTACTCAAGAAATTCGGAAAACTTGTCAAATTTAAACAAGTTCCGTTTCAATTTCGAATTTCAGGAATTTAAAATGTTGATGTAAAAAATTAAATTTTTTTTTGTACCAATCATAGAATACTTTTAATACAACAAGAGCAAATTCAAATATTTTGCAGTGCCCAAATAAACAACATTTTCATCATTTCCTTTAAGCTATTATCTTTTATTCGATAGTACAAAAAGAGTCCACAATTTAACTTAGTTTCTAAACATATCGAGTGCCTTACACAAAGTCAAACTTTCCTGCTAAGCTTACGTCACAAATATCCAAGGCTTAAACCAAAGTAACTACGACTAAACTTAGACTAAACTAAATGCTGTTTAGTAAGTACGATTACGACTACGAAATGGAGGGATTCGTATTCATGAGAGCTGCAAATGAGATTTAATTTTATTGAGTGGGTATAATATAGAGTTGCAAGATCAATCGCTGACGGCCACCAGGTCTCTGGAGGATCCGGAAGTGCTGGCAGAGCCCGTAGGTAAGCCCAACTCGGAACTGGAACTGGAACCGGAGCCGAATAGATCACTTAGGTTGCCACCCACCACGCCGCCCACTCCGGCGGCCAAGTTGTGCGTCAGGCTGTGACGTCGCAAGTCGCAGTTCCGGCGGAAAACCTTCCCACAAGAGGCGCAATTATAAGGCTTGATGTCGGTGTGGGTGAGCAGGTGGGTCTTCAAATTGGATCGCTGGTTGAAGGAGCGATTGCATACGGGACACTTGTGCGGCGACTCCTCCATATGGAGGATCTTGTGGACAGCCAGAGTTCGGGACTGACAGAATCCCTTGCCGCATTCGGCGCACTTGAAGGGCTTCTCCTTGGAGTGGATATATCTGTAAAGGTAAGGGAACAACAAAGATTGGTTGAAAGATTAAAATCAGTTTAGCGGAAAATTAACTGGTATGCTAAAAAGGCAATTGATCAATGAATTGGAATATATGCTTCTTTGTATATCTTAAATATCCAATAGAATAGATATTTATTTTTAAGTAGAGACAATATCCCGACCTACCTATGATCCCTCAGATGATCCTGCCGCCTGAAGGCCTTGCCGCAGATGTCGCAGGAATAGGGCCTCTCGTCCGTGTGGGTTCGTTCATGGATGAGCAGATTGTAGGACTTGGTGAACTGCCGGTTGCAGAACTTGCAGATGAATTGTTTCTTGGACCGCTGGGCAGCCGCTGCCGCCGCCGCTGCTGCCGTCGAGCTGCCCGCCTCATCCACGCCCCCTACCGCTCCGCCCCCGCCTCCTGCCGCCCCCGAAATGACACTCATCTTGTCCTGATACATGGTGGCCTGCAGGGAGTGCAGAGCGGAGTCCGTTTCCGCCTGGCTGAAGGCCGATGGATTGAACATGAAGCTGCCATAGCTGCTGTCCAGATCTCCGGCCTCGAAGGACAGCGCATCCTCGCCGTCCAACAAGGGTAAATCGCATTCTGCCGCCAATTCTGCGGCAGTTGCGCAATCGAGGGCCGCCTGTTGGTTGGCAGCAGCAGCTGCAGCAGCCGCAGCAGCCGCCACCGCAGCAGCAGCACTAACGGTGCCAATCGAGGGCAGTGGCAGGCACTTGGATGTTGCTGGCGTGCTGCTGCTGGTGGAGTTGCTGCTGGACGTGGATGTTGCAGCAGCAGCAGCAGCTGAAGATGTTGCTGCCGCCGTCAAAGGGGGTTCCCCCGAGGAACTCGATGAACAGCTCGACTTTAGCTCTATATTGGCTATATCTATTAGCGAGGGCAAGGCATTAGTCTCCGCCTCACTGCTGTTACTGTTGCTGTTGCAGGTGGTGGTGTTGTTGCTGCTGCTGCTGTGGCTGCTGGCATTGCTGCTGGAGAAGCGGAACACATCCGATTTTCCTGTGAGCCGTTGCAGTGCCAAATAGGATTCGAGGGCCTGAAGATTCAGAGCAGCTGCTGCCGCCGAATTGGCCGGTAGTAAGGCCGCCTGCTGCAGGCTGCTGACCATGGTTCCTTGCAGCGACAGGACGACGGCAGCGGCCGCTGCTAGATCGTTAGTTGCTGCTGCCGCCGTTGCTGTTGCAGCTGCCATGGCCGCATTGCTGGTTTTACTGCCAATCGGCGATGTTGCCGGTGTGCACTTGCTGTTGCTGTTCTCTTGGTGGCTTTTCTTGTGCGTTGTTGTGGGTGTTGCTGCTGCACTTGGCTTGTTGCTGTTGCTGTGCTTCGATGTTGCTGCAGTGCTGGCCGACGTTGCTGCTGTGGTGCCCGCCTCGAGATCGCTTAGCGCCTCGGCAATATCGGCTGTTGTTGCTGGCGATGCTGCTGCCTTGGCCGGCATATCGCTGCAAGTTGCAGCTGCAGCAGCAGCAGCGGCACTCAAATGCTTAACTGCCTCCATAAAAAAGTCGAATCCACGCACACACGCTCAGCTGGATATCGGGATAAAGCCTCGGGGCTGCGATGTTGCTGCTTGCCGTCGAGATTTTTTTGTATTTTTTATTGTTTGGCGCACCTACGCAGGTTGAGAGGTTCGGAGCGCGTCCACATGAATATTAAAAACCACACGCCATCATAAATCACGTCTTAGTCACGCTTTCAAAAGTCATAAAAATCGAATTTGACGTCTGGCCAAAAACGAAAACAACAAACTGCAGTCTCGGCCAAGTTAAGTCAAATTGGCAGGCACGCTTTTTCGATTTTGCGATATTTTTCGGAATAAAATAATATAGTAATTCAGCTGGCTGGCGCACACGCGAGATGATTTTTAGTTTCTATATTATAATTTCCGATTAATCAGACTTCCGGTCTTGACCCACACAGATGCACACACACGTGTTAAGCTATATATATTACTATATTTGTTGTTTATTTTCTCTGATTCGGCTGCTGCTTCTTCTTCTTCTCTTGACGTCGATCAGCCGTCGCTGCACACAATATTGGTAAAAGATCTCGGAAAACTAAAAGTCCATTGCTCTGCGGACATATCGCGGACCTGCGCTCACTTGTTGATCGCCCTGGCTCTCTCACATCGGGGATCTCTCTCTGGGAGAGTAAAAGAGCGAATCGCCCACAAGATCACCTGGAAAAAGAGTGGCCAGAGAGCGGGAGAAGTGTACCTTGGCCAGGTGCAAACTCGTTTTGTCCGTGTATTTTGAGCACCTTTTACTCCCTCTCCGCTCTTTCACCCACACAAACTCAGTTCGGTGAAGTAGAGAGAGATCGCGTCCAAAGTGCGAAAGAGAGAACCGGTTTCTGCGGTTAATATGCCTGATTTTGAGTGGGTGTTCCTCCCGCCCTCTCTTTCCCGCCCGCTCATGCCTTCTCCCTCGCTCTCTTCTCCTGCCATCTCGCTCTTGTTTGATTATTTACGTTTATTTTTATAATTTTTG